CGACCTCACACATACATATTATGTAAGGTCTTGTTTGACAAATCGTGTGATTTTGGAAAGTCTTCATGGCATCAAAGTTGGAGCATCAATTATCATCACTCTTCACTTATCGGCAATGGCCATATGCTCCTTATTCATGACAGAAGGAAGCTACCCTATAGCCCCAGATACAGCTATAGTACCACCTACACACACAGGTGAGAACCACGTCATTCCTAAGAACTCCCTTGTACCTAAGGGAACAGAAACCGGGCTTGACACATTATGAAACATTATATAACCGACAGCACAGTAAGAGGCTTCTGGTACAGTTGGCGGTTAGAAATACCCGTACTACACTGATGAGGCTACCATTAAGCCGTGGAATGGGTATTAGTGTATCAAATATTTACGATCCCGCATTAATGAAACGGGGGGTTTTAGAGTGCCTCTTTTGTAAGGATGTCGGTGATTTGCTGATTCTCCAATAAGTCTCGAATATTGGGTTCGTGATGTATGAAACAATTTGCTAAGAGCTACTGTCTGGTTTGATTTATAAGTAAAAAATATCAACATCAATTTTAAATCCCTTGTAGACGTCTCCTGTTTCTGTTTGACACTGGGGCTAACTGGAGGTAATCCTCTTTACCAAGGCAAAGTGCTTACATGGGGCAGAGTGCTTACATGGGGGCAGGTTACTCCAACTCTTACAAAAAGGCTGCCAATAGTTATCTACGTTATGTAACTAGTATCAGTGAAGGGCTGTTCTCTGGCCGTCCTTCTTTATAAATCGGTGTCAATACAGTTTTGCAAGATGCTCATTTTAACGACTAATGGATCTGTTCCGTAGACGATAACTTGTATCCTAATTCCTGTGTGACAATAGTGATGATGTCCGACGTTACTCACGGTGGATAACAATTGCTTTTCGACATTGACCAAATGTCCCTCGAGCCCATTAAGAAATACCCAAAGGGCCTAGCTTTGGTGTACAAGCTTGCTACAGCTTAATAGTCCAGGTACATCGCCGCGGCGGCCAGCAGCACCACCACAGGCACGCACCCGCAACACGAGCGTAGTTTCAGGCTGGAGTCTATATTTTCTTACTGACTAAATGCAACTCCTGGCTGCTGTTCTCCCAATAGGAGCAGGATTGATTAAATCAGGTAGATACTTACACTTACTGGGTCTTACACCGGAGGGTTTCTGTTTACTCTATCAACGTGGAATCGTATGATTGTGCAATAATGTACGAGGCCGAAAGTTGTGCAACCGGGAAACAAACTATATCCTCAGGAGTCGATATCATTGCATTTCAAATCGAAACTAGATATGCACTCTATGGTGTTGCTTGTCTGGTACAGCATCAGAAAGGCACGTATCTCACTAGACTTTCTCTGACCTGCCATGGGCATTGCTCTATTAATGGAGGTCCTGTCCTCTCGCTATCATGATCTATCTCTGTTCCGGTCAGTTAAGAGCTGTCGAACATTTATGGCTGTATAAACGACATTGGCCGTACGAAGGAAACAATTGCTCTCTACACCAATATACCCGTAAAGTGTGCACGGTCCATAGGAATGTGACCTAGTTCCAAAGTTTGCTAACCTAATATCGTAATATTCTTTCGTCTGCAATTCAGTAGAGCTTACTGCAGTCGACTTTATCATACATTTATCACACCATAACCAATATACCCGTTAAGTCTACACGGTTCATGAGGATATTGTGATTTACTTTCAAAGTTTGTTGACCTAACATCCTATTCTTTTGTCTGCACTTCAGACAAGCAGACGACAGTCGGCTTTATCATATATTTTTCGCACGCATTTATCACAATTTTCACCGCTCAGGGCGTAAGGATTGATTTATCATCTAGATCATGGAGATCACGGGAGATTTGATAGCTTTTACTGTTTCTTTCAAGTAAAACGTCACTACTTCAGGACGGTCTAATTTTATGACACGCTGAACGTTCTCTCGGATTTTGTAACTTCCAAAGGGACGTTCATGCTGGCATGCAGCTTTGCGCACATGTCCCTCCTGAGGGCCAAGCAGACGCCAACTCAGTGCCCTTCTCCCATGGATGTCACCCGAGATAAGTACCGTATTGATGCAATCAAATCAAATATATGGCGGTACTAATTTCCCAGCAGACCTCGCGCAGACAATGGGAACCCATTTGTAAGGTTCTTTCAACAGACGAAAGTCTTGGTGATGGGATTCTGTTTTTTCACCTGTATACGCGATGGTTTGACACACGGAAAACATCAAAATTTACCTTGCCTGGTTTATTCTGCAAACATCTTTACCAGTGAAATATGCCCCGCCGCCCAAAGCCCGGATTCAGGGGACCCATCGACCATGCGCACTTCATTTACAGGGTGGTTCGATCCAGCCGGTGTGACTGTTGTTATGCCTCCCACATGTTCTCTCCCTGGCTGAAATGTGCCCCGTCTCGCACATCCAATTTTCTGGCTAGATCAGCTCCTCCCAAAGGCTCGTGTGATGAGGGGACTACATTTGCTGTGCAGATCTTTTAGTGTACGTCAGACTTCTGAAGAAAACGCTGAAAGATCTTGAATTCATAAAGTTTTCTATGGTTGACTTTTGATTACATATCATGATTATTAGAGTTAACGAGTAGAAGTTCCCGGATGCTGATACAATTGAGGATGATTTATGATCTTCCTGTGCATGAGTGATCGTGAATGACTGCAACATGCCATTCGTGGTAACATCAGAACAGCATTTATTGTCATATCTGTCTTATATCTCATATATCATTTTAAACAATCATGTATGCCTTTCATCAGAATGTGAATCTGCAAATTTGATCAATTGTTTTAACGTTCTACTTTTGTTGTCTTCACATTTACTCTGAGCAGAGGCTAATGCATCGTGACCAAAAATTGCTGGTGACAAGTGCAGTGCATTTCAAAATGTACCACAAATCAAAAACTGTGCCCTTTGATCATACCAACCCAGCGTAGCCACTTCCAGGTCATTGACCATTAAGTAACGATCCACTTCATCAGAATCTACGGCCGCACGTAATCCTGGTGAGAGCCTGGATACACTTAGAGGAAAATTCCTTGCCCTTATCTTAATAGCATTGGCTTGTGGCCACAATGTGAATAACCTTTCTTACTCCCTGTCCCAAAATAACCCAGTCCAAGCCTTAGATTTTCTTTTACTTTGTGGCCAGTTTTGATTATCTTAGGATGACCTTTAAGTCACAGCTGGAGATAAATCAGGTACAGGAGAATAGCGGCTGACTACTTCTCTGTGCTTGATGGACCATAAAGAAGGCTATAAAAACCCAGAGCTAAGACGTCAAGGACAGGAAAAGTTACTAAGCTTTGTAGGCGAAGTAAAGTAGACCTCCATTATTGTAATAAAACGAAGTTTTGAAGCGTGGATCTATGCTCCTTCTGTGTGAACATTGATTTTGTGCTGCAGACAGGTCTAAGAAACATGGGGAAGTAAATATTAAGAACGGTGTAATTACTTAGGGTCTTTGTATGAAGAATTACCCTCTTAACAAATTTAAACTGCGTGGTACATTAGTTGACATTTCAGCTTGGTGATAAGATTCATAAAGAAAATCGAATAATGCGCCCGTTACACAGTATATATCAAATCTGAGACGACATTACGTTGAGTTGTGATCAACAGTTGTGTAATCGATAGGCGTCAAGATTAGGAATTCCAACACTCCATCAGTAGCACAAACCAACAAGGTGAACTGTCCTCCACAATGGTTTTCTTGGCACCAAAGGGCACAACAAACTTGACACATTCAGTTAATGCACATTGGTTATTTTATCTGCACTTTTTCCACAATGAGGTGCCTACTGCCCTATACTGTGTTCATCTGTGTGTTAACGTTCTCAACAATACGTAATGCCCAGTGCCATACCTATACTAACTACCCACCGATCATGATAGAAGTGGTAGGTTAGAACCGACATCATTTAAGCTATAATTACCTGTGATTAAGTCATAATTGATCAGCTGACGAATCATACGTATGATCCATAATGGCATGAGGTGACCGCCGAGTGCCATGAAAACTAATATTCAGGCCATGCACATTATTATTGATCAATATTCAGCGGGGAGCCGAGAAAAATCGCTACCGCCAGGATCCTCCCGTCCTTTTTCAATTGATAAGAGTCACCATCTAATTGGAACAGACGCATCAACCTCGCATGTATCATTGTTTTACTTAAGGCAATCTATTATCCCGCCCGACCTAATGAAATAATTTCCCGTTGTGTGTTTGGTTGCAGGGAAGGTGGGAGAGGTGGTGTGGGCGTGTGGTGACCAGAGGTGATGGATGAGGAATGTGTCTTCTGCCGGCTCTGACGAGACCTAATGGGGTGGAAACTCATTTCCCACGGCCGTGCGGAGAGGCGTGTGTGAGAACGTGTGAGGCTGGGCGGCAGAAGCTTGGGATTAACGTCGAGTCGCGAACCTAGGCCCTAACGACGTCAACCTGTCAGCGGTTGGACGTGCCTGTTTGGTTTAGTACGTGCGGTTTTAGTCACATGGAGCCGTCGGGACTTACTTCTGATAAGCCGCGACCAACAAAAATCGAACAATCGCGAGCATTCCACACCACCAAATGTTCGTCGCGACGAGTACAGCCGGCACGCTTAGATATCGATTGAAGCTTGCTGGGCACTCTTTGGGTGGCAGACAAGCATTAGCTCGGCGGTGAGCTATCTCACTGTTACTGTAGTGGCAGAACGGATTGAAATACTGCGCATCTAGATATCCTTATTGACCTGTAGGAAGCTTGGTGAAACAAAAACGGTACCGGGAACCAACGTACAGCTGTGTACTAGTGGATACAACAACTGGTTGTGAATAGTTGTGCTGTTACTGATACTATAACTCATCGCTTGGAAATCATCTGGCATCCTGTGCGTGAAACAAGTTTGCACAACTGTTGTTTGAACGGAGCTATAGCATCTCACCTGTGTGTGTTGATTGAAAGCAAGACTTGCGAATTGCTCAGCACTCAACTGTCCACAATGCTCAGGTCTGCAGTTCCAGGGACGTCCGTGGCTCTGATGGAGGCGCTGCTACTGCTTACATGGATGGTGCCGGAGCTGGTGGAGACCGTGACATGTCCCCGCATCTGTAAGTGCAGTGGCTCATTTGAAACCGTTTACTGTGGAGAGAGTGAGCTACTCAAAGTGCCGCGAGGCATTCCCACCATAGCACAGGTACTGAGCCTTCCTTATAATAACATCAGTAAACTGACCAAGAACCAGTTTGTAACGCTGAGGCAGTTACAGACCTTACAGCTCGGATTCAACACCATATCGACAATAGAGGCAGAAGCTTTTAGAAATTTGGAAAATTTGCAAACGTTGGAGTTACTGAACAACAGATTATCGTCTGTACCAACGTCGTCGTTCAAGGCAATACCGGCTCTGAGGGAGTTGTGGTTGCGTGGCAACCCGATCACGTGTCTGGATGCGATGGCTTTCTATCCTCTCAGTAGTCTGAGGCTGCTGGATATAGGTGAGATGAGACAGCTTAAAGCTGTTTCTAAGGATGCCTTTGCCGGGCTATCTAGGCTGGTCTATCTGAATATGGCTGTATCTAACCTGGAAAGTGTGCCTTACCTCCAGTATCTTACAAGTTTGGAGGAGCTGGACCTGTCAGGGAACTCCATTCAAATGCTGAAATCTGGAGACCTTGTGGGTTTGAAGAGGTTGAAGAGATTATTGATGGTATCGACGAACTTGAGCAAAGTAGAATACAACGCGTTCAAGGATCTTTCGGAGTTAAGAGAATTAGACCTATCTTACAATAACCTGACACTTCTACCGCTGGGGCTCTTCTATCCGTGCTATTCGCTCAAGAAGGTCAACCTAGGTAGAAATCCTTGGAACTGCTCATGCCAGGTCACGTGGCTCGTCGACTGGCTGAGCACACATGTACAAAACAGGACAGACGGGTCAGTAGGGACGTGCCAATATCCGGACAGCCTTCGTGGTAAATATCTGTTCGAGGTACAGTTCATGCTGATACAGTGTCCTCCTGTCAACGTTACCAGTCCAAATGTGGAGGTTCCAGAGGGAGACAGTGCCACAATGTACTGCAACGCTGGACAGGAGACTGCCGTCAGCTGGATGACCCCGAACGGTACAGTCATTAGGCACGGCTCGTACAAAGTCAGGGTCCGAGTCTTCAACGACGGGACCCTGAACATCACCAGTGTGACCATGAGTGACTCGGGTCTGTACAGGTGCTTGCCCCAGAAACCACCGGCCTACGCCGATAACGACCCGTTCACGACATTTCTGAATGTCCTACCGACCAACATTCCCCGCCGATGGACCATTCTAACCAGTACAGATTTTCCGCTAGCCGAGGAACCTTTGGACACCAGTTCCATTAACGCCAATTTCTGCGCGTCGGTCACCAGAATAGATACCGGCGAGGAAGACCGAAATTGGCGTAATGGGACGTCCTTAATCGATCAGCCGAATGGTACTTTTGGTCCTAATATCTTCACTTACCCTGGAGGTGACATCCTCAGACCGGGAGACTACAACTTGAATGAGACGCCCCGCACCGACTACAAAAAGTATGTTATATCATCCATAGTGTCTATCCTGTCCTTCGGATTCTTACTTTGGACCGTGTGTTACTTGGGTGTGAAATGTTCAAAAGTACGAGAGAGGAGACAGCAGGAGAGGAACTATCAGCTACAGAAAAACTGCAACTCCACAAACCACCATCCAGCAATAGTGGATCTCTACCAGATTCCGGAAGTAGAGAGCATCAGTCCCAGCAAGTCAAACTGTACCACGCTGTCTACGTTTAAAGATCCACCACCGATGGAGACAATAGTATAGCACATCATGCCTAATAAGATTAGATTTTTGTATTTAACTTAGGGACGACAATTTTGTACCTATTCGAAAACAGATGAATGACGCTGTATTTTCAACATGTATCTAGTAGATGAAGCGGTCGGAAGCAACAATTGTAACTCTGTTGCTGTACAACTGATAGATAACGGTTGATAACTATGTATTACTTACCTGTATGTTGAGGTGAAGTAATGATAAGAGGAAAAATCTGTTGAAAATGTAACAAGATATACAGGGATCTCCTTATATCATCAATGATTCCAGCTTCAATGCTTGCACAAAATTTTTCCATTTCATTGTTAATTTTTTTCAAGGCTTCGGTACAGCAGCTAAATTACACTATTCTTTCAATAATGAAGCAGGGCTCGGAGTCCACACGCCAGTTAGTTTTCGTTGCTTTTATGAGTAACACAAAGTTAGGAATACCAATTCTTCAACACCTCCCTGCACTGCCACATAAATGCATTTGCTATAGGGAGAACCCTGTAAGGTCACCGCTACTCCGACCTTGCTAGTCCGGCACCCTGTAAATCATTCTTCTTTTCACTTTGAGCGGCTTTCATAGGAGGTGAGGTGAGTACAATACGTCTCTTTTGCTCAGGCAACCCGGCAATTTCGCCGATCTGCGCTGCACATTAACTCCTGTGATACTTACAGTTGTGGATCACTGACATGCATATTACCTACCTGTGAGGCACGGACTGGGGGATTTCAAGTCAAGTAGGAACCAGCAGAGTTCTCGTACAATTGAACATTGCAATTCCGTCTGAGAGCAAGATATTCAAATTCTGTTTCATATCACATTCGAGTATATACAAATCAGTTTCGTAGGTTGAACCTTATCTGCAATGCATTCAGTAGATCAAACTGGTGACACTTCTACTAATATCATACAGTCACTGTCACATGCTGATGGTATCCATTTCCATGCATCTTTTGTGGAGGACAAAGACGACTTCAAGGTCCATGTGATTAGTAAGAAACCTGTGAGTCATCTTTGCTGTATGGATTTCTGACAGAAGGCCACAACACACTCCCATAACTCGTTCTTCTGATGGTTAACATACGTGCGGTGAACCCAAAGAGGGCTGACTATAGGCAACTTTATCTGCTTCATTCATTATCTATAGCAGATTCAATCTAGCGCAAGTCATGTCCTGCATATACATGGCGTCGCCCACGACACTATTACAGATTATAGAACAAGAGCGGGTACTCCTGTGTAATAACTTCACAGATAAATGAGCAGTTTCTTTAATAAAGAATAATAAACAATGACTGATGTCTGTACCTGTACGACATACGGAAGCTTGCCTGCTCCCAGATGGCCCGAGTCAGCCTGCATCAATAAAGCCCTACCTGAAATGAGACTATAAGAGGTCGACCTGTGTCCATCTCGTTCTCATTCATATCCACTCAGAAACTCATTTCGTCGGTGCGAGAGCCGAGCATGGCTTCCCGCAGGAGTGCAGTATTAATGCGTTTTTGCCTCTTAAAAGAAAATGCCTTTCTTTTAGATTGTTTATTGCTTTTTGGTTCATAAAAGCTGTTCTACCGACGTCGGGCAAAACATTTGCATCCGCGTTGGGAGAGCTCGAGAGAAAGGGCAACTTGCATATCTGAGGGACATCACAGAGACAAATCTAGTGGGGAAATATTATTGAGAAAACTTGTGAAACTTGGGTGCTTGTGTGCTGGCTGCTATATCTATGGATCTGACGAACACGATGAGTTAATATATTGATGGTATCTGTACAACGCAAACGTGAGAAAGTTTGATATCTGATGTAGAAATATTCATATGTCATTAGAATGGAAAGACGTGAATAAAGCTTCACCATGTACCATACATCATATATGGTATATATCTAATATGTCATGAAAACAGATAAAGATCATGGAAGTTTTGTGAATATCTGACTACATTGCATAATATAATGTTGTTGCCATTCAGTGTTATCAAAATTCCATCGGACAAGTCAGTATTAGTCATTGGTGGCACAAGGCGTGTAAGTTACTTTATGCGGCGTAAATTACGATAACAGCCAGAATGTAATCACAAGCCCACACAGCGGAGATGATATAGATTACGGTCCATGACCACGACAAGCTGTTCTTCTAATGACAATGCAGCTCATGTATGTCGTGTCCTGTAGCGGTTCATGTTCTCCTAAGATTGATGAAGTCTTAATAGGAAACAAGAATCGCCTGACGCATGTACTATCTGCTAGTCGTGTTCGCTTCAGGACAAACTAACTTCAGCTGTACAATGTTGAGTCCCTGAATGCGACAGGCAGACAAGTCATTTCTGTGGCTGTGATATCGCCGTCCAAAATCAGTGTCATTTATATGGGTGCCAGCTATATAATACTTTTCTCACCATGAAATATAAACGGATATCATTTTTGAAAAGATGAAAAACTTTTTGAGATAAAGTCCCAACGTTTCTCATTCCAGGGTAAGAAGAACACAATATAAAAGCAGACGCCTGATTGATGGTTACTAAAAGCACTTCAGACGCCGCATTAGGTTCAAGACGTATCAAATTCATCTTCCTTTAAATAAAAAAAGATACCTTTTACTTCGTGCTCTAGGTATCGATGTTAGGTGGTCATTGACCTACCTGACTATCATGAATACGCCAAGTACACATTACACAGCTGCCATTAGTAGATATGTGATCAATGGCGCCGGTAATTTCCAATGGCTGACGGTATAACTCAAACAGCAGGTACACTAACGTAACGAGGGCCTCGGATCGGCCAGGTTAAGTCTGGTCACTCCGTGGAAACATCGTTAAATATATATTAAACAGCGTCCATCAATTTGACATTGAACTGCTATTGCTATGATAATTAGATACACAGTTAAAAATCAATGACTTTCATTCGTAAGTACGTTATGTATAAACATAATGTGGAGTTTTGCTACAGTTTACACATGATTTTATCAGGTAGAATACGGGCAAATTTATATATATATAAAAAAGTTATTATATTCTGACTTATTCTTCAACAAACATTCTGATTCCGTATCTTGGTTACCATTTAGATATTCAACATTATACAATACCGCCGATGAGGCGGTGCAATTGCCCCATATCAACCAATCGTTTGTCTATTATCTCGTGACTACCATGTACCAGAGACTTTTGCCGCAGGCTAAATAAGATTGCCTTGCGTCTTTACTGATGTCTATTTTTGACAATCATGATTTTAGTTGCTCTCAGAAGCAGCTATACCGTGGATGTGGTGCAGATACAAGAAACATGTATCAGAGGTTCTACAGTGCAGGTGGTCTTTGATTGTCTATAAAAAGCCCGAAATTATGGATGATATAAAATGGAAGCCAAAACGACCCAACTGCCTGTGCAAGAGTCCTACAATAAAAACCAAATGTAGCTCGTTATGCAATTGATGGTTTACGATTATTTGCTAATGGTTGGAGAATCACAGTAAAAGAACGACATAGTATATCATACCCGGACGTTTTACGAATGTAATGTACTACAGGCAAGTAAAAATGCTCAAACTTCTTCTAGTTTCGATCAAGATCACGGCGACAGAAATATTGACTGGGACGACAATAAGTATGTCAGGCCTCGAGGGACACAATTCGTCTGGAAAAAAAGGCCATTTTCAACGATCTTACAGTTAGGGGCAGTACTGGCAATTTCCTGGCCTGGCACAGATTGGTAATCGATTGTTTTCTTGGAAGTCGATCTTTTCAGTATATAACTTGAACGGGCATACTTGAATCATGGCGTATCCTGACATGTATATTACCTATCATACTGGCGTTGATAAGGCTAGTGAAAAGGGTTAGAGGTGATGTGTATGCCTTTCTCCTCCAGTATCAAAGCATGTGTGTTGAAATGCATGGCACACGCTCGACGATCAAAAGGGAGAGGTACTCACTGTCACCTCTCTACCCACTGCAAACCTACAGGATTCTCCAGAGCCTTTAGTGATTTGGCGACTTATGAAGCGGAAATCCCAGGCGATACACCCTGGAAATTATCCTTTTGAAAACCGTCCCCACTTTGATGTCTCCTGGCAACCGAGGATTACACCCTGACCTGCCGTGTGATGATGTGCGTCATGGGAAAGTGTGAGCTGAATTCGGAAATACCAAATAAGGGGGTGCACATCTTCGCCAACAATGCCTCGAAACCCTTAATTTTCCTCGGTGTGAAGGACAGGCTATGTTATGGAGAGATGTGATTACCAAGTTGATGAAGTCAAACTTGCTGTTGATATCAGTTCTACTTTGAGTGACCCCAATCCAGTCAAAGTTGCTGTTTCGATAATTCGAGCTTTAAAAGTTACGGGTTGTGAGGTACTGGGCGTCACAGGAAAAGACTTGTTTATTTTGGCACGTAAAAGGGTTAAAGCCATCGTGAGTTAGACCAAAGGTATTGGACGCTAGATTACTATAGGCCAGTTCGATTTCACGTTGCTTTGAGTGGTATATATTCAGTGAAAGGAATCAATAGCATCAGCGGTGACAGAACACCCCAATCTCATTGAACTGTCGATGTACGCTACGAGGAAAACCGAACGGGGCATCGGGGCAAGAAACACCTTATCAATTTTCTTAGGGTATTTCAGATAACACATAAGAGGACTGTCATTCGACAGTGAATTATTGATGTCAAGCATTGCTCGAGAATCGTACGACGGAACCTTTATGGTTGTTACACGGTTGTTACACAGACGTCCACGAGAACATGTTCTAACTGACTTAAACTTGACCTCAACACGAGGAGAGAGAATCTGGAAATAGATTTAGACCTTTCGGTCGCAGTCAGGAAGATTGACCAGGTAATGGCAGACTGCCCAGGACACACATTACCAGATAGTCGCATGACACGGCAGAGGATGGACTGTCCGTCAGGTCCCGGGAACTAAGCAGCAGTATCCTGGGAGTGGGCCGTACCAGGTTAACGCCGTAAATTATGGCTATCCCAAGAATGCATTCAG